CTGTCTGTGGGGCCTGACGGGCGAGCCACAGAGCTTACTTTAGTGGGTGGTTTTGCTTATTTTGCCCACCCAGTTGCTGCGATTCCTCATCTTACTGCTGAGGGGGTTCGACACCTTGCATCACAGCCACTGCTCTGCTGCAGTTCACAGCCTGGTGCTCATCACTAGCTCCAAATCTGCCCCAGCTACCTCAGTGTTGCAGGTGATACGGTGCGGTGGCTGAGCAGCTGAGCTGTCCCACTGGCAGCGGTGGGGACCCGAGGGGGCTGGGGAAGATTGCCAGAGTCCATCCAGTTGAGGAGAGTGAGGGCATTTCAAGGGAAGCCACCTGTAGCAGCCATAAAGAGCAAGCCCTAAGCTCAATTGAGATCGGGATTGGGATGGGAGGGTAGTATCCATCCCCTTGTTTTAGAAACCTGTACTAGGATGGAGTGAGTTGCCCTCCAAGGTAGCCTCTCTCCTTCCTTCCACCCCACCTCCTCCTGGCGTAACCCATGCCCAGGTTACCCCATCAGCTCTACTGAGGTGAAAAGAGTCCCGGCACTTGTCCTGATGGCACAGCACATTGATGGGGATGGGAAATTCGGCTTCTCTTTCTACCTCTCTCACTCCATGTACCACTTCACAAACCTCATAACCTCTCTGGGAGCCTTTCAATGCTGCTAGAGATGTTACTGGTGCTTTACTGACCTCATAGCGAGCTGGAGCCTGCCCATCCCATGTAGAAGGTGGTCTGAATAGCTTATCCTCTTTTGAACTTGCACTGTACAAGTACGTGCTTGGTTTAGACCTCCGCTGGGGCACTGGTGCTGAATGCAGTCCTCGCTTCCCCCGCTTGAGCTAGGCTCACCGATTCATAGACCTTAAATATGCAGGATGCTCCCCGGGTGTAGAGTTCAACGTGCTGGGGGCTGCCCGGCACCTTCATCCCCCCTGTCTGCAACAGATGCAGTGGGCATTGAAGTAGAGGCAACCTGAGAAACCCACATTTCAGAATGGAGAGAAAGACTTGTTGTGTTCCAGCTCTGTTGATTTGGTGGAAAAAAAATGACATCTCTGATAAATCTTGGCTTGCTTTGTCTTTAGGAGTGGCATGTAAAAAATTCTGACTGTATGCTGAGCTATTCTTTCTTGCTTTTCTCAGCAAACAGGATGCAAAGGAAATGGTATGCATACATTTATTATTAATCAGTAGGAGTCATCTGACAGTAGGAGTATGCTTGCTATTTTTGCTCTTTCCCCTTCTCATCCCATGGCCTTTGTAAAAATAGAATGATTCCTCTAAAAAAATTGGTACTGTTAATTTCCAAAGCTCAATACAATGTGCTAGGAAAGGCAGGGGCAATTCTCTTTTTTTTTTTTTTTTTTGACAGTTACACTGAAAGTGAATTTGATCAAAGTGTTGTCCGTAGTTCTCTTTTTAAGCTCATATGGGTTCAAATGTGATTAAAAATGTAAAAAAGCTTTTGAAGAGCTTCATCTCAATATTTTACCAAACAGTAAATTTTGGCATTTGCAACAAATAATCATTGGGAAGCTTCAGTCGGTGGCTGTCAGTTACTCAGGTAGTTCACTGCTCTGTTCTCTTAGGCAGAAAGCGCCGTAGATGTTTTCCACGTTAATAGCTTTAAAGTTTCTGCCTTCCCTTTGCATTCTGCTGCTGAAGCTGATGGGTCCGTCTGCATGAGTAGGTGCAGGCAGTCTTCTACTGGGTCTGTTCAGGCTTCCGCCTGCCTCTGCACACTGACTCCAGGCTGGAAGGCATGTGGATGTGCCCCAAAATTCCATGCACAAAGACTCCCTCGCAGATGAAATAGGAGACATAA